ACTATTTGTGCTAAGTTCAGCGTTAATCCAGGCATGAGTAAGGAAAATTTGTAAACGATCAGTTTATTCGCTGAAGTCAATTTACAGACTTTTGTCAGCAAGTGTACGAGTGGCCGAGATCGATAGAGCTGTTTAACGAAGCAGAGCGAGCTACGATATTGCCGCACGGGAAATCGTGACCGGTTAATTTATTATTCGTATCGCTGGGAGAATTAAAAATTCGCTGGAATATGGTAAACAACGTCGTTAGATCGAGGCCGCGTTATCACTCGCTTCGCGGAAAAATTATGCGATGGTGCACCGTGGAGTCGGCATGATTTACCGGGCTGGCAGCTGCTCGCTCTCGCGTTACGTCCTCTGCGCCCTCGTCGCTCCCTCGAAGAATTATTATATTATTATGATATAATAGCTGCTATTTATGTGCCACCGACGCCATACTTTTATACAGTATAGCGTAGTTCCATCGATTGATTTTCATCAGAACTGTCCTCCGCGGGTGCATGATCGTTCTGAGAGTAAAGCGATCGTCAGCCACAGCGATTGGTATTTTACCTTGTCCGTCACAGTGGTTTAGGTTAGGTTTGAAATAGGTTTGGGATAGGTTTGGGATAGGTTTGGGATAGGTTTGGGAAAGGTTTGTGATAGGTTTGGAATAGTTTTAGAATAGGTTTGGAATAGATTTGGGATAGTTTTACGATAGGTTTGAGATGGGATAAGTTTGGAATAGTTTGGGGATAAGTTTGGGATAATTTTAGGATAAGTTTGGAATAGGTTCGGAATAGTTTGGGGATAGTTTTGGAATAGGTTTGGGATAGTTTTAGGTTAGGTTTGAGATAGGTTTGGGGTAGTTTTAAGATAGGTTTGGAATAGGTTTGGAATAGTTTGTGGATAGTTTTGGAATAGGTTTGGAATAATTTTAGGATAAGTTTGGAATAGGTTCGGAATAGTTTGGGGATAGTTTTGGGATAGTTTCGCAATAGGTTTGGGATAGTTTTAGGATAGGTTTGAAATAAGTTTGGAATAGTTTGTGGATAGTTTTGGAATAGGTTTGGAATAATTTTAGGATAAGTTTGGAATAGGTTCGGAATAGTTTGGGGATAGTTTTGGGATAGTTTCGCAATAGGTTTGGGATAGTTTTAGGATAGGTTTGAAATAAGTTTGGAATAGTTTGGGGATAGTTTTGGAATAGGTTTGGAATAATTTTAGGATAAGTTTGGAATAGGTTCGGAATAGTTTGGGGATAGTTTTGGAATAGGTTTGGAATAATTTTAGGATAAGTTTGTAATAGGTTCGGAATAGTTTGGGGATAGTTTTGGAATAGTTTCGCAATAGGTTTGGGATAGATTTAGGATAGGTTTGAAATAGGTTTGGAATAGTTTGGGGATAGTTTTGGAATAGGTTTGGAATAATTTTAGGATAAGTTTGGAATAGGTTCGGAATAGTTTGGGGATAGTTTTGGAATAGTTTCGCAATTGGTTTGGGATAGTTTTAGGGTAGCTTTGAGATAGGTTTGGGATAGTTTTAGGGTAGCTTTGAGGTAGGTTTGGGATAGTTTTAGGTTAGATTTGGGATAGGTTTGAGCTAGGTTTATAATTCTTCCTAAATGGTCACTGAGAATCGAGTTGCAAAGGGTTAAACAACCCGTTTCTTTGCTACTCCATTAGTAGCCTGTCAATGAGTATAATCTCCGATGCGCAAGTATACAATAGACCCCAGGAAAGTGTACAGAATGAGCCGGAAGTGGCGGTACACCCGAGCAGGAAATGATGCATGGGAAAAAGCGGGAGAAAAATTTGGTAGAACGCGTTCTCATCCCGGATTTTGCTTCTGAGAAAATCGATCGAGACTGCACTGTGTACGAGTCGAATATCCCCAGTGCAGTTCGCGCAGTAAAACGAGTAGAAGGTAAAAATAGGAAAGGAAAGCAGGAAGCGAGGAGCCGTTTTCTCTTAGTCTATGCTATTTAGTCTCCGTTTAATTTTCTCTCGTTCTTTGTTCGCGTTCGTTCGATTCCCAGTCTTCCTCTGAGCTTTTTATTCGTCACGTCCCCTGCGTCCCGGATCCGAGGAGGATGGCTGCAACGCAAAAATCTATTTAATCGACGGACAGTGTCTTCACGGAGCCGATATTAACAGAAGTCGCGATGGTTGAATAACCTCTGTGATGCAAATTATCGGGACGACTGATTATTCCCGGACCGAGACGCCGATATCGTTCGCCTCCCTGTGAAATTGCATTCCCTGCCCTCTTCTTTCTAGCTCATGCTGACAACCACGTATATTATAATTTTTGATTGACTAGGGCGAAATATAATTTCCGCCTGTCGCTTCTCCTCGTCCTGGATCTGCATCCTCCGAGTCATCGGCAGCGGATGCGCCGCCATTCGAGAAGCTTTTACCCGGTAATCGTGTTTTTTCGCTCCATCTGTCCGTCTTCTTCGACTAGCCAATCTTCCACGCTGTCTTCCCGTTCATTTCGACTCGCATATTTCCTAGTAAAATTCGAAAAATTAATTCACTAGTCGCAAGAGAGACTAGGGAAGCCCCCCAAGCTCTAGATTTCCTAGAAACTAGAATAGAAATTGGTATAATTGGTATAACCTAAATATACCGCAGTTTATATTCACCCTCAGGGTCTGGCATCGCTAAGATGTTAGTTATCCGATCGAAATAAACCACGTCGGATAATCGTTTCCTATTTTCGCTTCAAAGGAACGGTGTCCAGGCCTGACACGCAAATGGCGCTTACTGGAGCGACGCATCGCTAGGATTAGTCGTAGATTAAGTCCCAACGTCCGTCATCTCGACTGGCCCGGTAGTCCCAGTATTAAAGAAGATTTAGGGGTTGCAGCAATAACCTAAAGCCAACCGTGGTTGCGAGGCAGCCATTGCGGCATTTTTACAACCGACAGCTGTCATTCTGCTACATTCTCCTTCGACCACAGTGCAACGTGTTATCGGCAGATATCCCCTGACGAATTACGTAGGGAAAATGGCGGCTCGCTATTCAATTATTCCTACGTTCAGGCGTATTTTCAGCCAGGCTGCAATCTTTTACCGCCCCCCTCCGTTCCCTGAACGCTGCCATCGATCGACGCTCCGTTTACCTTTGAATCAGCCCACGAGGATGAGTCCTTCTCCTCTTTCGCCACATTTTTCTCCTCTTTCGCGACGTTTCCGCGATCAAAGAGACTGCGTTTGGCGAGACTGCAGTTCCTAGGTGCTTGAAAACGGTGCGGGAGCTAATAGCCTGTGACAATGCACTCCTCCGAAGCTCCCCGAGCACCTCTATCCCGCGGCGAAGGTAGACGGGAAGAAATTGCGGAATAAAAATAGCGAATAACACGAAGGGAGGGAAGAAAGGTGCGCGGTATCAGGGTATCAGCTGGTCGCTGTCAAGATCGCAGCTGACAGTGACTTAAGCGCTGCAAGGTTTCAGCGACCCACCCCGCTGTTTCCACCACCTGGCAGCGATTCGCCAACCGACAGTTCGCCAAACTGTCAGCCACCATGCGTGTTCCACCATCGCGATAGTCCGAGTGCTGCATGCGAGTAGGAACGGACGAAAGGGGTCTAGCTGGCTAGCAACCTAGCAGCCCCTTTCGCGAGGGTTGCGCGAGGAACTGGCCGTCTGTTCGCATTGTCAGCGATAATTGAGGCCGATTTCCAGGAGTCGTAAACGAAGGCCTGGCGAGGTCGTAAACCGACAGGGAAATTCGCGCGATACACGCGAACACCGGGGGGACAGTTTCGCCGCGAGTTACGGCGAATAGCCATGTGGCAAGCTGAGAAACGGTTTTGTTTGCCTCGCTGCCACGGTTGTTCGTGGTTAATGGTCAGTGGTGAACCGGGTCCGGCTGGGTTACGCGTGTACCGGATCGCGGGAAAAAATTCGCTATTAGCGAAACGCGTGCGAGTCGAGTCGGTGGCGTACCACGATGATGGAATTCGAATGTGCCGGGTCCATCAGCCACTGCTCCGACGAGTCTCGATAGGACGGATCGTCGATAACGATGAGGGAGAATCGATCGGTGACCTAACTAGGTAAGATCTAACTCTGTGCATGATACATTTCGCGGGGAATTCTGGATATTCGCGAGTGCTTGATAGACAATGGCTTAATTACCTTCTGGTAAGCTAGTAGACCGTGTTTACGTACAATTACGTACTCATCGATCACGCAGATTGCTCCCCGAGGGTGATTAAAGGCAATCTGAGAAGGAGACAAATATTTGACAGCAATTATTTGCTCTATCGATCAGCTCGGTTTACATCCGTCGAAATTTCTTCGCGATTGGTTCCCTGTGCCTTCGAGTAGGCATGGCTGCTGGTAAATGGAGTCGAATCGATCGAGTGGATCGAAGGTTCGTCGAATGGGGTGGAGAGTTCGCTTCCCTTGACGCACGACCCTCGCGAATCGTGCAAAAATCCAGTGCCGAGTAGGGGGATCGATGGTTGGCAGAAAGGAAACATCGGCAGTGAGTCAGTCGGTGACTCATGTATAATTTACTTCAGCTTAATTAGCGAATGGCCGGGTCTCGCGTGCAGAAAAAACAACATTTGCCATAAATACGCCAGGCCTGTGTTATGCAAATGGTATCTAAAACTGTAAGCGAAACACTGCTCCGCCTACCGGCTGCCACGTTTCGTGCGGACTGCCGTTGTATCGATTATGTTCGCCACTCGAAATCGTTGCATACCTTTGCGAGCGTAAATCTCGAATATGAATAGCCGAATAAAGCGGCTCGAATGCTGTTGCACGGAGTTCCCCGTGCGTTTGATATGTTCCGTTTAAATTTACACCGGGAATATCGCGTCGTATTTTCCGCCCTCGCGAGAACCAATTCTACTGGCCACTCGTGAAATTCCCTTTGCAAAAATCGAGGAAAATTTTGTCGAGGGCAGAGCACGATCGCGAATTTCGACTGGACGGGATATCGCGTGAGTTCAAGCGCTGTGAGTTCAATTGCGATTAGTCCAAACGCGATTAGCCCAAACGCGATGAGTCCAAAGACGACGAGTCTAAACGCAATAAGTCCAAACACGATGAGTCCAAACACTATGTTTCCAAACGCTATGATTCCAAGCGCGACAAGTCCAATCGCAATAAATAAAAATGTGACGAGTCCAAACGCGATGGGTCTAAACGCGACGAGTTCAAACCCTATGAGTCCAAATGCGACGGATCCTAGCGCGACAAGTCCAATCGCGACGAATTCAAACTTGACAAGTCCAAATGCGACGAGTCCAACCGCGACGAGTCCAACCGCGAAGAGTCCAAGCGCGTCAAGTCCAAACGCAACGAGTCCAAACGCTATGACTCCAAACGCGACAAGTCTAAGCGCGACAAGTCCAATCGCAATAAGTCCAAACGTGACGAGTCCAAACGCTACGAGTTCAAACCCTATGAGTCCAAATGCGACGGATCCTAGCGCGACAAGTCCAATCGCGACGAATTCAAACTTGACAAGTCCGAATGCGACGAATCCAAGCGCGAAGATTCCAAGCGGGTCAAGTCCAAACGCAACGAGTCCAAACGATATGACTCCAAACGCGACAAGTCCAATCGTAATAAGTCCAAACGTGATGAGTCCAAACGCTACGAGTTCAAACCCTATGAGTCCAAATGCGAAGAATCCTAGCGCGATAAGTCCAGTCGCGACGAATTCAAACGTGACAAGTCCAAATGCGACGAGTCCAAGCGTGACGAATCGTAGCGCGATAAGTCCAGTCGCGACGAATTCAATCGTGACAAGTCCAAATGCGAAGAGTCCAAACGCGTCAAGTCCAAACGCAACGAGTCCAAACGCTATGACTCCAAACGCGACAAGTCCAAGTGCGACAAGTCCAATCGCAATAAGTCCAAACGTGACGAGTCCAAACGCGACGAGTTCAAACTCTATGAGTCCAAACTCGGCGTGTCCTAGCACGACAAGTCCAATCGCGACAAATCCAAACGTGACAAGTCCAAACGTAATAAGTCCAAACGCGACGAGTCCAAGGGTGACAAATTCAATCACAATAAGTCCAAACGCGACGAGTCCAAACACTACAAGTCCAAACGCTATCAGTCCAAACGCGACGATTCCAAACGCGATTAGGAGAAAAACGGTAAGAAAAGATTCGCGGATTCCTCCTCGCAACTTTGGAACGCGTATTACGAAGCTGGTAGAAGCGGCAAAGTTTGCGACCTCGCCGGTTTTTCCAGTCCTCGACGATCACGACAACGTTAGGGGAGCAATAAATACGCGGGACCATAAATCCGTTTTTAAGTTCCTTTCGCGAACTGTCCGCTGTAGATTTCAGAGCAAATTACACTGTTCGTAGAACGAGAATTAATACCGAGGGAAAGCAGGATCGCGCATAAATCACGAGGGGTTACGGGGGTAAAGAACCGCAAAGGAAGCGTATCCGGGAATCCGACGGTCGCGAATTTACTAGGCGACTGAAAGACGGGCTGGAAAGAGAGTAGTGGCCAGGACGAAGGAAGTTTGGCCGTTGGTCTCTCGAATCGTTCCTAGATATTCAATACGCTCGGCTTGCTGCGACGAAAGCGTGCGGTCGCGGTGGATCCTTGCGGTTCTTATTAAATTTCACTCCGCGGCTTGGACGACGCACGAAGAAACGAGTCTCGTCGGTGAATCGGCTTTCGAACGGCAGCCTCGTCCTGGTTTATCCGCGAACTCTGCGACCAACGGAATCCCTCATCCTCGATACTCCAACGTCTGACAATTCGGCTTCTCCTGACGCTTACGAACCTATAAATGGCAACGAGGCTACCCGATTCCTCCAGAAAAAAGCGTACCATCGTCAGAATTCCCTAACCGAGTATTCCCACGTGTCCTTCCCCTGGTCAGATCGATCAGCCGACGAGGAACCGTTCTGCCACGTCTCCTGGAATAATCCACGAAGACGTATAACGCGACGCGACGTCAGGTTAGCGTATTCGGAGCCGAAAATAAAGTTTGTATTTCTGATTGCAGCTTCGACGAGACGTCGATGGACAGCTGTCCCTTGGCGGCCATCGCCGAGCCCAGGAGCAACGATTTGTCAAAGGATGGAAACGAACTAGAGGTGACATCGCTGGAAGAGGCGAAGACGGTGATAGCTGCGCTGAGAGCGAGGCAGAGGGCACAGGCGCATCAGATGCTAGCCTGGCGGAGGACCCTGAAATTGCAGGTAACTCGGTGAACGATGCTCGGCCGGTTCGGAGAGTAGGAAACGTTCTTCCACCCCGAGACCTCGTCGGTGCTCGTTGATCGAAGCTATTATCCGGTAAACCTCGCAAGTGGAATCCGAGCCCGCTTCCGGGACAGCCGAGACGTCTCGTGACGTTCGACTATTTCGCCGCGGACCTCGCGTGACTACGGGCAATCTACGTGTCCATGGCGGTGCATTCGCGAAAAGAAGCCTCCCTCGAAATTTAGCAGAGGTCTGCCAATAATCGCGAACGATCTCTGCCTGACCCTAGGCAGCGCGCGTTTCATATGGCTTGTGGCAGAAGTTTGCGACTCAGGCGGCCACGGCGCGAGAGGAAGACACGGCAGGAAACGGGGAGTGAGAAAAATGGAAATTGGGAATATCACGGAACGGTGTTCGCCGAGAGATCTTTCGAAAAATACCTCTCGGCAAGCCGACAGTGGTCACTCGGTCGAGGTAGCTTTGATTACTCGCCTCCGCACATACCAGGGATCTGCTCGAGAGCCCCGGTAAAGGAACTTCGGTAGCCTGGCTGGAACTTTATGAAATCTCTTCACCGTCGATCCCTCCGTAAATTGCCACGGAGTGATCCGTTATTCCCCTTCTTCCTCTTTTCATGATAGCCTGCTCGTTCCCTACGCGAACACGTTCGCGATCCTCGCGAGAACCGATAACCGATAAGTCTTCGCGTTTCAGAGTCCATTTAACCCCCTGTGCCATGACCCAACTACGAAATGCCTTACATCTATTTCCTGCGCGACAAAACTGTACACGCTTCTAGCATCTGTACAAACTTGTTCCCGTGTCGATACGTGTAAACCATAGTGTCAGTCGTGCGATGTGTACAGTTTGCTTTCGCGTCATTTGACAGCAAACATGACGCAGAGAGTTAATTTTAAGAATTTATCGTAATTTCTACGACGTCGTGTCAGATACTTGAAAAGGAATCTCGTTGTTTTCGTGGGTGAAATATTTGTTACGTTATTTACGATACATTTGCCATCACGGTACAGTTAACACTGTAGACCCAAAGTTTGGCAAACAATACGTTGCATATATGTACATTTGTAATTTAAAATTCGTAATACATTCGCATAAAATATTCTGAGATATTACTATATATTTTATACATCGATTTATTATATAAAATTTGCTACATTTTAACTAATATTTATTTCACAAGCTTGAATAATGCTTTAGAGTTTGATATCTGGTAAAGCATACTCGTTTGTGCAATGGTGTTTGGCACCATATTGAAAATGTAGATGATTTTTAGAAAGCTATTTGCGTACAAATTTGCATATATACTTCGAAATAACAAAATGTACAACAATAAAACACTATAAGGTACGGTAAACGAGCCTCGCAGAGCTACCGATGTTCTGGCTATACTGATTGTTTTTACATTCTTGCAATGTCAACATTCAGTTATTTTGTTTATCATTTGTCACGAGAATACGCAAGGCTTCACTACCCTGGTAACAAAAACATTTGTCTCTGGTTGGCTAAGTCACAGATTCAATCGAAGAAAGCTGAAAACGAGATATCTCGTGACCCGTACGCAATGTGTTAATTTGGAAGAACTGTCTCTAGTTCAGATCGCTCTCCCAGCCTTGTAGCGATCTCTTCATCCCTCGTGAAGACAATTCTGAGTGTAACGAGGCCGATCAAACTTCGCTGGCTGGAAATCAACAGGCGGATTAGACGGAAGACGAAGGCGAGAGCCTGAGATACCTCGAATTCCGTTAACAGGTGTCAGTGAACGGATGTTTGCTAATTAGAGACGGGGATTGCGAGATTGGAAATGGAGCGAATGGAGGACAAGCAGCTGCGAATACCCGTGGCATTCGAGGAAAGCGGTTCAAGGCAACTGCTCGAAGAAAAACAGCCTCGCGATCTGTCAAACGGAGTGGCGTCTGCGACCCCGTCGGAAGAACTCTTGGCTCTATGGATCGAGTGCACTCGCAGAGAGTGGAACTGCTATTGCTGCTGTTCCGGCCACAGAGACCGTTCGTTTAATATTAATGCGATGAGAGAGCTGTGGCCCTAGAAACGTCCCGTACATCCTGACTAGAGACTCGAGAGACGAAATTTCTGGCCCGTGCGTTGTCTCTTAAATTGCGGATCCCACGCGGCGCCGAGGATCCTCTGTCAAGCAGTCCGTTTCGCACGAATGTCGTCCTTTTACGCTCTGTGCACGATTTTACTCGATTGATTGGAAAATTCGATGTTCGCTCGTGGTGGAAAGATTGTCGAGAGGAGATTTTTCGTTTGAAGAGTAAAAAGGATCAACAAAGATCGGAAG